TACTTTTTTCTATTAACAAGATTTTATATCAAAAAAACTTTACACATTTTTCCCTATTTTTATATTGTTCTTTTTAACAACGCGATTTTATGTAAAACAATAAAAGATTTTTTCTAAAAAAATAATTAATTCGAATATTTATTTAATCCTATATGTAGATTTAATCGCGCTCTCCTTGATTACCAAATGCGCGCATGCCTACCATTATTATTACGAAGCGGAAATGAGTGATTCATCAGGACCGATAATACGACCGCCAGGTCTTCTCGTGTGAAAGCTACCTAACAAGTACGACGGTATCTCCTGACAAGGAGAAGGGGCCACGAAAAGAAGCGGCCCGATTTTATGGAACCTCATTATCAGCTTTACTCGCTCCTCTCTCTTTCGATTTTGTCTTATTATCGTACGCGCAAAACGGACCTGCTCTTCCTCACCAACGCTTTTTCCATGACTCAAATTCATGCGCAATATAGTCACGAAATTGGTTAATCCTGTGAAAAATTATTCATCAAGTAAAAAGACACACACATAATTAATTTTATACACTTTTCACTTACTGACAAAAATTTGTTTTGTAACTGAATAGTGTTACGTAAATATTAGCATTTATATAGGCATAATATCAGAGAAAATATATCGCAAATTTAATGTACATTGAAAAATTATTAAATTCTAACTGATTAAATCATTTTACATAATGTTATTTTGTTTTTTCTCTTATGGTGCTTTGTACTGCAAAGAATTAAATCGTAAATTTTGAAGAATTTCACATAATATTTGTAATCATATTTATAAATAAATTATGTAAATATCAGTCACAAAATGTAATATTATAAACTAATAATAAGATACATATACATATTTTAAGAGATATTTCAGAATATTAAAGTGAATATTTTACATATAGCATAGATGTCTTGAATTTTTTCATCACCAACATTTCTCTTTTAACATTTCTTAAACCTACTTTCTTAATCTTAAAAATTGAATTTCAAAATGAACAGAAATTAGGTCATATCACTACTGTTGTAATAATGCCGTCTCCAAATAAATACGTTTTTATCTCCACTGTTTTAGCGCAGTAGTAAAAGTATCGGTTTAGTTCTCTGACGTTTCTCGGACGGAATCGGAGCGCGATAGATAACCTTCGTGTTAAGGTTAAAGTCTTCTAGCGGTACAGACAGAAAATACATATCTTATACGTATGAAAATGTACTCGATAATTTAGTGCAGACATAATTAGATGTCAAAATTTGAGTTATTTAAAGATTGCTTCCAAATGCAAATGATTTTAAACGCAGACGACCTCTGATATCTGAAATAACTGATTTCATAAGAGTATTTATAAAATTACATAAAAGCAAAAATGTGTAGTCATGCTATTTTTTTCATAGAATTCGCACCGCTATCAAAATAACGAGATAATGGAGTAATCAAAACGACGATGAACTTCAATGGTAAAAGAAAACATGTCATTGATTAAACAAGATAAAACTGTAAAATATTACAAATTTACATAATGCCGAATATAACGAGTAATCAATATTTTGTTTAAATTAGTTAATTATTTTTTATACCGATTAACTATTCAATTGACAAAAATTAGAGGCACAAATTTAAAAAAATTGCAAATATTAAAAATATGCTGAGTTATAATATTAATCGACAGCATAAAATTATCGCGAGGTAATAACGATATCGTTTTGTAATTTTCAAACTTAAATATTTATTGAATATTAGATTCAATTAGTTATTGAATGTAAGTTTTAGAACCGTATTTTATCGCGAGATGTAGAAACGTAATTAGCAACACGTTTTCACGAGTGTATTGATCCGCTAGCTCTCATAATGTAGTTAATATACGTTCGTTTCTATAACTAATATTTACTCAGCTAACGCCTGGGCTCTAACACGTTGCTCAAGCATGGTATTACAAGTAAGATAAGCCTAGAAGCACGTACGTAGAGCACGGCGTTTTGCAGGCCGCATGGATACGATAAAAATGGCGAGGGAGGCCAAGGTTAACACTCCAACGATATTCTAGAGCACAATAGAGGCACACACCGAAGTATCTTCAAAGACGCGCCACAAACGTGATGGAAAAAAAAGTCACGACGTTTCTTAAAATAAAATTGACAATCCCAACCAATATATATATAAACGCGAGTTATATGTACATATATTACATAATATTGAGAATACATTGCCGGCAGCATTATAATCATAAAAGTCATAATGTAAAAGATATTTTAAATAATTGCGTGACTTTTTATATATAAAGTGTAATCGTTGTTTAAAAAAAAATAACAAATAACATGACTGTTCAAAAAAATATTTTTATATAAATCAAAATCGAGAACAGAACAAAGGATGGAAGGTATAAATAATAAAAAAAATAAAATTATTTAGACGTTAATTGACTACGAGCAAGAATGAAAGGAAATTGCGAAATTCTCGCTGATGATTGAAATGCACATGACTATACAAATCACAATGGTTAATTAAAATTTAAATAATAAACTTGTAATAATTTTTATTAGGATTGTCATTATCTTTTTTTTTTAGTGACAAATATATTAGTTTGCAGAAATATCGCGACAGAATTGTAAATAGCAATCCAGATGTTACAACTGTGTTATGATATTTTCAAATTTCTTCGAAACTTCTGTAGGATCTTTAAATTTTAATATATACACTTAATCTTATCATATTATTTTATATTTCTTTACTAGATTTACACATACATTTTGTATTATAATATTTCAAGTTTTGAGTATTTTTATCACTTTCCTTTTTTCAACTATATCACATTCTAAATGTGTTACACTTCTATGAGATTTATCAAGTCTTCCCTCCCTAAGTTAATCGTGAATATGTAAAATATTAGAAAACTTACGATAACCTTTTAAATTTTAAGTGCCGGTCCTAACCCATACACTTTTCAAAACTTATTTACAACTTGTCTGCTAGCCAAATGAATATTCATCAAGCTATTTCGGTTTTTACGTTTACACGAAGAAACTACGCCTAACGGTATCGATGTAGCTCTCATGTTAACGCAAATGTTGATTTGCGTATAAATGCAGGTATAATTTTAATATTAATTAGATATTATCGAATTTTCACATCTTTATACTATAAAGATTTAAAATAAGTTAATGTTATTAACTATCAAAACACAAACGAGTCAATACGACTATCGATATTATACTCATGATTAAGAAATGTTTCGTAATATTTATTATCAAATCCGCACATTTCAAGTCAACATTTTTTACCAAATAATACAGTTTTTATCAAGTAATAAACGCTCTTTATGATAAGATAAAAATATTTATATTTATATATGTAATATATTATAAGAAAATTAAAAAAAAAATATCATAGGAATAAATTTTATGATATTCTTACAAGTGCTTACGTTACGTCGTTGAAGCCATTATCTCGCTCATCTATTTCGATCATAAATTCGTCGAAGCGACCTCCCTCACCGAGATCTCCGCAAATAGTAAGATATCTCGTGTAAAAGAGAGAAGAGGGGCTTTCTCTTCACTTTTCGTATTTGTCCAATCGATCAGGCACGAGGCACACGAACGCACACATAACTCTATTCGCTAATCGACGCTCGTCAATGCAGCAGCTCACGTTTCCGAGGATTTTCGAAGGTCCCTCGAGCGATCGCGCCGCGTTGTGTCGCGTCGCGTCGCATCGCGTCGCGTCGCGTCGCGTCGCGCAGTCTCGAATTTTATCCCTTCGCGTATAATTCAGCCTGGGTGGCAGACGTGATCGGCAAACGACGTCCGGTCCATGCGCCATTCGCTATGCGAGAGAAAAAACACGAATTTCTGCGGGCTGTCTTCGATGAGGCCGACGGGATAAAACCTGCTGCAAAACGCCACTTCGTCGAGCAGTGCAATGGGAATGCATGATAACACTCGAATACATTATATCTCCTCGCTTATTGATAAAAATATCTTGCTTTATACGATATCAAAAATTGTGAAGCATTTTTTATCAGTCGCGATAAATCTAATTAAGTTAACAAATTAAAAGACAAATTAATATTCATACATACATCAATATTTATTATAAACTTTGCAAGTAATTTTTTTAATAATTTTATATTTATCGTTTGATATTTATCACATGATATGTATAATTTTGAATTTATTTTAATTTATTAAAGTGAATTTTGTAATAATTTAATTCGATTTCTTCGAGGTTCTTTCAATCAATAATTTTCTAAAAATATAAAGTTAGAATGCTAAATTATTCACACTGCGTGACGTTGATCCATTAAGGTTATTGTCGAAGGTAGTCACAATTAATAAAAATGTTGTGTTTCAATGTGTTATTGTGACAGAATGACGCAGCCGTGAAGATAGATATCGATAATATACTCGATGAAGATATTTTCAACTTTGAATTCGCGATTCTTCGTTATCTAATTGTTACAAATAATAATTTCTAATGCAACTGCGCTCTTCGTTACTAGCAATATTTAATGCACGAGGTAGAGTATGTACCAGAAAACATAACATCGAAAAATACCAGTGACGCAGTATGCGAGACACGTGTAAAAATAATCTCGATATTTGTAGGCGAACTCCGAACGTATAGCATTGGAGCAACGCAGATCGGAGATCGTTTCTTCAAAACAATGACACTGCAAAATTATTTTTAATTGAAATTATTCATGCAATGAAAATAAAAAAAAAATTTATTTCGCAGACATCAGATTACGTATTACAGTGACTCCAAATTGTACGAAGCAAACATAAAGAGTTATATTACAAGCGATGTCAAGCCGATCCCGGACGTAAGTCAAGTGCACAATGCGTTTCTCACGGTCAAGTCTTGATCGCCCTTCGAAAAGCGCATCCCCGAACGCGCTTTGCAACCCCTATATACTCGAATCTCACGAGCCATTGCACTCACGGTCACACGCGACCAGGGTCGGAAGGAAACAAGAGAGAAAAAGAAGGAATTGCAGCTCCTACCTGTCACACGTCGCGGCGCTTTTGGTCGGTGCCATGCGTCATCGGCGCAAAATCGGCCGCCAGTCCGCGAAGGGGAATCGACCGGGCAGAAAGAAAAGCAGGACGGGAAGAAGAGGCGCAAGAGAACGCGCAGCGCAGCCTCGAGCCAGTCTGAGCCAGCAGCCACCAGTGTGGCGAGATATTTGGCGGGCTCCAAAATAGCAATAGCTCCGCGTCCTCCGTCACCGTATTGCTGGCGCGTCGCTGCTTCCTCGGCGTTCCAGCGACGACACGCATATACACGACACGCTACGCGACTACTCGTCCTGCTCGTTTCCTCTTCGTCGTCAGTCCTTCTTGCTTTTATAGTATACTCGAGCAGTAGTATAGAGAAGCCAGCTCTATCGTCAGCTCTATCAGCTTGCCGCGTCCTTTCTGTTCCTCTCTCACTCGATCACCAGTTGTACAGGGTACTCCGCGCTCAATAAGATTACGTCTTCGTCGATGATATCGCTGACAATTCGCCCCAATGTATTCTCCCCCCCCGAGAGATAGCCTCGAAAAGTACTCATTCGTCCCTATTCCGCCTCTCCGGTCCGGTCCTCATCGACCTCCCCTCCGCCTCCACTGTCGCCCGCGACCCGATCTGCGGTATCTGGGTATTCGTGTCGTCGTGCACGCCGATCGTACTTTGCACGCATTACAGATCCATCGATCCTCCGTCTTCTCCTCGCCACCCGTCGCTTCCTCCGCTACCGCCGTCGTTGCCGTTGCCGTTGCCGTCGCCGTCGTCGTCGTCGCCGCCACGCCGATGCCAGCCTCTCCGTTTCGCACAGATCGTCTTATCTCGGAGTGCACGGCACTTGGCGCATCATGGTGGGATTATCGGGGCTCTTCGGCTCTTCGGAATCGCTCTTTCCAGTCGGGGAATCGATGCTGATGTCTGGCGAAGCTGGATCGAGCGATTTTCGTGACGTTATCAAAGCGCACTACGAGTTTCTTGAGGGACCAATTAAATTGATGATTACAAAGCTGGTGGATTATAACGAACAGAGGTGTTATCAAAAGTAAATGACGACGCTGAATCTTTTCAGAAAGTTATCAAGCCCAAGTGGTAATAATAAACAAGTTTCGCAAATGATGGCCTGTATGGATGTATTTGAGATGTTTACTACTTTGCAGCTACTTGACCGATCGTGCTGATCTCTGATATACTGGCGTGAAAGTCATGATTTCTAGAGAACCTAGCACGTTATCTCCCACGCCGAAAAGGAAAGGCGACAACTCATCACTTTTCCCGAAGCCGATCAATAGAGACTATTCAAAGTTCGTTGTCGTTTTCGCTTCAAATCACACCGTATTCACGGTATATCAGCTGACATGAACAATTTTCTCCTAAGCAATTCCCCGGCAAATAATAATTATCCTACAGCATTCCACTTTTGATAGCTTCTCGCACATGTCAATTCGTCAATTTCCTGTGACAACTTTGCGTAAAAACCAATTGAATGGAAAAGACCAACTTTTCGAGCTGCACAAGAGCTGATTTTCCTAGATCTTATGGACTACCACTGTTTTCACTGTCTTTCCTCGATTCTTGTTCACATTAGATGACGAAAAATTTCATAGACTCGGTTTCTTGCTCCACTTCGATCATTAAAGGTACCTTCTTGGGACTGAGTGAATTTTCTCGTCGTGGTACCTTCACTTTTTCTTTTTTCTTCCTATATATCGCATACCAGTTTAGCTAAGATACGCGATTGCCAAATTGAAGTAAACGCGTAATCTTCCTTGGCGGAGCTAAAGAAACGGAGAGATGTTCGCGACTCCGCAGTTCGCGCGCGACTGACCGAGGGCGAGAGTCGTTATTGGGAGCAGAGTGCCTCAGGTCTGCCCTCCTCTTTCTCTCTTTATTATGCCTCTCTCACTCTCCCTGTCTGGCTCTATCTCCCTCACGCGTGTACTATCACGTCCCCCCGGTCGATCTCCCTTTCTCCCTCGTGCGAATCATTTCTTCTTTCTTGCTCTCTCTCTCTCTCTCTCTCTCTCTCTCTCTCTCTCATTCTCTCTCTCCTTCCATCTCGTTCCGTTCCGCTCTTATGAGAGAATCTGTCTGTCTTTGTCGTTGACGCACTCGCGGTTGGGTCGTGTCGTCGATCTCCGTCGTTCTCACTCCGATTCAGTCTCTCTTCGTCTACCTCGTCGCTGAACAGGTTCACTCTCGGCTCCCGTTCGCGCGGAGCAGGCGCGAAACGAACGAAACCGAAACTCAAACTCGCGGCGACCGCCTCCATCGGCTCTTCTTCTTCTTCTTCTTCATCTTCTTCTTATTCCTCTTCTTCTTGGTGATGTTAGTCTTCCTCGGTACGACGTTCTCCTTCCTCTCTAGCAGCGTCAAGGTAGTCCCTTTGGTTTCCTCCATTTCTTCCCTTCCCATCTCTATCTTGGTCACCAGTTGAGTTTCCTACCTCAATCAGTTGCGTTTCCTTCTTAGATCAACTTCCATATCTTCACTTTATAAACCATAATAAAAAGATAGAAGACACGCCATGATTTCAATTGCATTTATTTTTAATTAAACATTGTTTATAATATTTTTTTCCCTCGTCTCTGCTGTCATTCATTTACTTCTTCATCTTTTCTTGTGTTTCTAAATGTTCATTTGTCTTTTTGCTTTAGATGGATCTTTTTTTACCTTTACATTTTCTCTTATTTCTCATATTTCTGTCTCCTATCTATTGAATACTATGTCTTTAATTATGATCAAAGACTCAGAATCAAATACTTTCTGCTATCTCTTAATACAATATCTTCGCATTTCAATTCTTCTATCTATCTCTTCCCTCTCTCTATTGTCTTCTTTAACATACTTTACTATTTCCTTTCTATTCCGTATCTCGCATTTTTCTCTGAGGTCTTTTCTTCTTTGTTCTTCGCTTTACTCTCTCTTCATCTTCAGGCATTTCGCTATCTCGATCCATCCTTCGCTTCCCACTTCATCTCCCTTTCCTCTTCTTTTCTTCATAGATAGTCATGCTTCCTTTATCGCTCTTTCCACTCTCCATCCTTGCACTTCCCTCTTCTAAACCTCTTCTTCAATCGCGGCCGTTCTCCTTAGTTCTCGCTTTCTCCATCGCGTGGTCGGCATACTTCCTTCGCGATTCTACCAGGGTACTCCGTCCTTCTCTTTATAGCTACAAGTGAAGACACTGTCCAAAACTGGTTGGAGAGACGCTCCAGCACTCGTTTCGGCACCGTAATCGACTGGCCAGACTGCCATGCCACACAACCGTCAGTCCCACCCTCTTTTCCTCATTTCTTTGATCGTCGTTCTTGTTCTCCCTGAACACCCTTGCCCTTCCTTCAACTATCGTGAAAATGGAATCTCATAAGAAAAGATCCCAACGTATAGAAAAGATTGCAATCAATTCGTCAAGATGTCACCTCTAAACAATATCATCTAATTTGAAGGAAATCAATTGTAAACTGAACGATTGTCATCTTAGCGAAAAAAATTGACAAAACTTTCGTTGGCAGTTCTAATCACCAATATATTATTTCATTATATGCAAAGCTAGAAAAATAGTATTTCTACAATTGTGTTTGCTACATTTTTAAATTGCGAGTTTCAAATTTTTAACTTGTTCTCTCCCCAAATATATTTATTTGGTATTTATTCGTATTATAACATTGCTGGTTTTTGGACATTAAATTTAGAAATTCTAAGCATCGAGCAGTGAAAGACCGAATCGTCGAACAAAAATAGAATGAGTATCATGGGACGCCGAAATCGCCAGCTCCGATTTGGCGATTGGGGACGAGCTTCTAACGAGGCTCAATCCTTCGTATCCTGTTTGGACTTTGATGCGTGGCTCGCCATACGGTTGACAAAGATTTGCGTGTAGCGAAGAAATTAGCGAGTCGTTCTTTTGTTAGATGAACACAACTACTCGTAATAAAAGGGCTTCATGCAGAAGGTTAATATTATTCTTATTAAAGTAATAAGATTATATGTTACATAATTCTTGCATGTAATAAGGACCTTATTATATGCAATAAATAATTATATAGTCATATAATCTTATACAGAATTTATATATTAAGAAGCATAAAAAAATTTAATTTTAAATATATTTATTTATTAATAATTATAGTAATCTTTAAAATATGTTTAATACATTTGTAAAATAATTCATCAAATGGTCATTATACTTTATTTTAATAATTATTAATTTTTATTGCATGGATATTCCCTTAATAAGCTTCAAGATGATTATCGCGTAAAGAAATAGGGGCAGTAAGAAAGATAAATGAAAGTATAATAATAACTCAACGAGCCTTCTTAGAAAGTATAAGGAAGCGAAATGACTTCCTACAAACGATCGAATTGCTTCCGATAGCGCAACATAGAATTCAATTTCGTTTTCATTCTTAATTCAATCACATAATAATAATGACTGATATTGTCTTTGCGGTATTTCTCGGCTGACCACAAAGACAGTCAATCTAAAGAAAGATTTATTCGACAAACAGATTTCCTATTTGTAGTAAAGAAATTCGACTGATGATTTTATTATAATATTAAATAAATATTAAGTAAATCTTAAAAATAAAGACATTCAATATATATATGTGTGTGTGTGTGTGTGTGTGTGTGTGTGTGTGTGTGTGTGTGTGTGTGTGTGTGTGTGTGTGTGTGTGTATTATCATTATGTTAGAGATTAATATATTAATACTTTGACCTGCAACGGGCAAATAAAGCATATATGAATAAAATCAAATGTAACTTTCATATTTTAAAACATGTGTATTCATAAATTTTTAAAAATTCATTATGAAAAGAGTTTTTTTACATATTATCAAATACAAGTAATAATTAATCTACGTTATGTTTGTATAAAACGTAGTTTTACACATTCCGAAAATCAAATGTGTTCTAATATTCATTTGTGGACGTTAAAGCAAATGTTAAATTTAAAATTTACTCTAATACTCATTGCAGATTATGTACTTTTCGATAATATATTTAAATGCAATTTATGTTATAGCTATAACTAATTATAGAAGCTTCATCGTGAAGATTGAACAGTAATTAACTTTGTGAATAAAGGTAGATGGTTCTACGTCTCTGGTCAGCCCTTTATCTTCAGCGCGGTCCCTAAAAAACCAGATATTTAAAAAAAAGTCGTCGACGATTGGACATTTAAGTGGAGTGGAAGTCAGGCCTAACTTCACAGGAACTTCGCTATGAGAATGGATACGCCCAAATTCAAGGATGCATCGGATTATAAAGGTTCAGCTACATATCAACAAAATTATGTTATACATATTCAAACTTCGCCACAAAAAATTTTTTTATTTTCCATTATCTAAATTATCCATTCAAAGGTTGTATTTAAATTTTATTATCAATAATGTATTTCGATTATACAATCAAAAATGAATCATTTTTGATAAAAAGAAGTAGTTCGATAAAAAAAAAACATATTTCAAAATACAAAAAATGTACATCTGAGCGCAAATACTTGTTATTCTTTTCCCATAGCATATTTCTTAATGCAATTCTCAGTATCTCCTTTATATTTCATATTATAACAAAATTTTAACATCGAGTTTTTTTTTTTTGCCAAGTTCATGAAGGCATTACGAGAAACTTTCGCAGAGATCAAGCTCATAAATTCCTCGAGCATCATCAGGAAACCAACACCCGGGCATTCGATCGATACTCAACGTAGGAAGAAATTCGTGTACATAATCCGCGCATATCGAGTCGTTTCGCTCAGCGATTAGTATTCAGCGCGCGTTGAGATACGTACATACAGGAACCATACGACGCATGTAACGCCGGCTACATCAATACGCCAACGTAACGCGCCTTGTCACGTACAAGCGCCGATTGAATACGCGGGGTACTCACACGCGAATACGAGTACCGGGCGTCGCGACGCGATTGCGACGTGCGAGGAGTCGACCCGTCGCGGCTGTTGGATACCGTTATACGAACATTGTCGACAGGATCTTCTATTGACCGAACAACGGCACATGATGGATTAGAACAGACAAAGTTTTACGTGCAGACCTAAATCATCCGAATTCGATGATATTGGCCGCGAGTTGTCATGAATTTTGATGTATCATGGAAAAGAATAGTTGCTACCATTTTACTAGCGAATGTTATATCGACATAAAAATCGGAAAAGTTTATATGTTTATTTTAATTTTTTTTTTTTTTTGTAAAATTGCAAAAAAAAGTAAAAAAGAAGAAAATAAATAGGTAACGTTTGTGATAAAACATGCTTTTAGAAAATTATAAATTATCATACTGAATATGTGATATACAGGTATCTACATAATATAATAATTTATAGAA